CTATCAAGGGTGGTGCTTTGTAGATATTTGCGAAGGCACGACCCATGACTTGCGCATGAGCGTTATCTATAATGTACGGGATAAACGTAGCATAAAAGAGTTGAGGCTTGTGATCCGAATAAAAGCCAAGTCACACTGGTAGGCCCATAGGCTTTTAGTTACGACAATTAATCCAGTTTAACAAGTGTCCGTATTCGTTATGTACAATTGTCAGACAAAATAATAAACAGATCGCGTTCCATCCTACCAACTGCCTCATCCCGTGACGCTGGCTTCAGAAAACTTCTTTGAGCACTGATTTGACAGATTAATCACGTGATTTGAGACAGTACCCTGCATGCGCCTGAGGGACGCGCACAGAATATTGGCAGTTGTTACCAGTCACCTTTACTCGATAGGACTGGACAAACGCCAAGAGCAAAAAGCACACAAAAATATTCCAAAATGCGCGGAGTGATATCAGAAGGCAACCCCGTAATGAATCCCTGATATTCTGATGTTTGTAGCAAACTTGATGAAAATTTGATGCGTTCAAATACGACTGAAATGGCTCACAAGTTGTGTTTCCTTACTCCCGCTAGCAATCTATCTCTTCTGCATGGTGGTTGTTGGATGTGCATCCATTTATGTGGCTGTGTACGTCTTGAGGCTGTACCACACACCTTCTGACAAACCTGTACCGCAAGGAGTCGTCAAGGCCGTGAAATATCTCAGTCGTCAAAAGGCTCCAGTCACCTGGCAAGCGGTATCTCGGATAATTGACAAGAGCATGTTTGTCGTATTTCTTGTGTCGTCTGTCGTGATCATGGTAACGTCGTTTATTGCTGTCAAACATGGCGCCTGATGCCACTGGCCGGTTAATATCTTCAGAATTACATCACGCCAACCTTCTCAATAATACGCCACATTAGTGCAGTGCGCATAAGCAGTATCTAACTCATGCAATACTACATCAAAGTGCCCTTCCAATCACTTTCTTGACGGTTGTGTTACACTTACACGAAGTTATAATCGTGCATACACGATGTACTTGATTTTTAAAGTGGGTGCACTTTACTGTGCTATTACCTTTGCTCTGATTCATGTAGAGACGTGCAAATTCAGCCTGTTTAGTGAAGCTTGTCCTGGAAATGTCTTCTAAATACTACTATCATACGGGCCTCGACAGCTGACACTTCCATACGTTTGCGCTAGTGCTCTAGAACTTTAGTTTATTTTTGATTGACTGGAGTCAATCAAAAATAATTCGAATTCAACTGAGACAGCGACTTTTTCGACTTCAAGACTGTGTTTGCGAGTAGTTCCAGCCAATCCCAACTTGACCCGTTAAAACAGCTTTTGTTAGAAAGGAAATTTTGGACAGGTGGAACGTGTCAAAACAATAAGGGACGACGATCCATGCATATTCTCTATTAAAAGTTTGCTAGGTAAATTTCATCATGACTAAGTGGCTATTCTATACCGAGATCATCAAATAGTAATTCTTGTATTTTGGGGCATTTTCTGAGGGCTTGTATTGTAATGTGTACATAATTGACATGCATAACTATCTTTTTGATCAAGTTAAGACTATGTTGCCTGTATTAAGCTTTCACTTCTTGTAAAATTCCTGTTTTTAATATTTTAATTGATAGTTCCCGTTGATTACTTCATCAAGGAACAGAATTATTCACAGAGCGGAACGGTAGCAAATGCAAAAATCACTCAAACTGAAACCGATTGGAAAAATTGTCTTGATTGCCTGAGAAAGGTGAGGGATGACATGCTGAGTGCGGACTTGGGAACTACATATATCTTTTCGGGAGGCAAAGTTTGATCGACCAACCAAACTTGAAAATGAATAGAAAGATGAAAAAAGACAATCATTGAACTGTGGAAAGGTATGTACATAAATAGAGATTCTTACACTGCACTTCTAGGAATTGTTTATCGTATGTTCTTCCCAAAAATTTCAAATGACGACTTACTTTTTATCTTTCTTATTTGTTTTAGGTTTTAAAAGTCGCAGGAAAATGTTGTGCTACAAAATGGCAGAAAAAGAAAAATATTTAAAGTGTTGTTGAAACATAACTGAGAAATTTTACACTTGGCCTGATAATTAATATATAATTAATTCATTGCCTTTCTAGGTGTATTGTAGTGGGTAAACGGCACCGTAAGTAATAATATAATGGATGTGATGGTGCAAGGCTACCCCCCCGGTACCACATGGCAAACACAGCTAGCTAAACAATGCAGTACAGCATGTTATACAGTCACAGCACAGAACAAAGTAGGTTGACACGCCTTCTCCGATATTACTTAATATGAGTTTCTAGCACTGACACTCTCCCACATTTAGGACGAAGCCATGCTCCCTGCAAATTAAGAGAAGCAAAATGCAGAGTTCTACATTCGAGACCCAAAAACCAAGAGACCATCTTGATATTGCGTGCACAGGAAAGCACCAGAAATTAAAACCTTTATGTTAATTACCTCCGTGACGTGCATACGGATTAGGGTGCCCCTACTCAGGCACGGTTCCCTATACTTGTAAATTAATGCTTAAAATATCTTGATCTGTTTTTAGTTTAGCTTTTTGCAAACGAGTACAATGTAATATACTCTCGTGTCTGTTCATCTACGTACGAGACCACTGATCTTCAAGTACATGTATTTCAAATTTTTGGAAGTGAGGTCAAATTTTGGCACGTTTTCACTGTTTCACGTCAGATAATTTTTCAGTTTCTATGAACTAGTATGCTGGCAAATATTTCCCGAAGGGTTTTCTCGAGGTGATTTATTTAAAGAAGTAAATGGACGAAAAAAATTACAAATTCTAAAATTTGTGCACGCTATTTTTCTTATCCAAGGGTTAAGTATGCCTCCACCAGGGTCCCCTTTAGGGCTCTTTTGGAAATGTACGTCGCAACGTGGCGCTACGTATAAGCAAGAAAATTTGTTTTAAAAAAATACCGTTGTTAGTTGATGTGCAACATATTATTGAGGTAATACTTTTATACATCAGCATTTGATGTGCACAGACTAAACAAGCAAATAAGGCAGGCGCATGCGCATTACTACCACTGGTTGGCAAAATTGCTTAAATCTTTGACGTAACATTGTAAATCTCCATGCGCGCGTCACTATCGCCGTTTCTGTGCTAGTATAGTTTGACATGAGTGCCAAACTTAAAGACACGGAGCTGTTAGTTTCTAACCTCAGGACACTGAAAACTTTACTTAGTTTAGAGAAAAGCGTGCTCAAGTATCGGGCAAAGGCTGTAATATAATTTTGATTGGCCGTCAATGGTCAAGGTTATGGTTACTAGCAGCTCACCTACGCTACTGACAGTCCTGACGGCTGCACTTGCCAACCAGTGGTAGTAGCGCGCATGCGCCCGTGCAATTTGCATATTTCATGAAAGGTCCGTCCCGCTTCGCGTCAG